TAGTGGAATAAAAATAGAAATCAATACAAAGAGGAACTCTCAAAAACATGCAAACACATGAAAACTAAAGAACTTACTCCCGGATGACTTTTGGGTAAACAACAAAATTAAGGCAGAAATAAAAAAAATTCTTTGAAACAATGAAAATCAAGATATAACATATTAAAACCTCTGGGATGCAGTAAAAACAGTGTGAAGAAGAAAGTTTAGGCCAGGCGCGGTGGCTCACGCCTGTAATCCCAGCACTTTGGGAGGCTGAGGTGGGCAGATCACTGGAGGTCAGGAGTTTGAGACCAGCCTGGCCAGTATGGTGAAACCCCAACTCTACTAAAAATATGAAAATTAGCTGGGTGTGGCAGTGTGCGCCTGTAGTCCCAGCTACTCAGGAGGCTGAGGCAGAAGAATAGCTTGAACCCAGGAGGGGGAGGATGCAGTGAGCTGAGATCGTGCCACTGCACTCCAGCCTGGCTGACAGAGCAAGACTCTGTCTCAAAAAAAAAAAAAAAGGAAGAAAGTTTATAGTGCTAAATGTCTATATAAAAAAGAAAAATCTCAAATTAACAACCTAATGTCACACCTACAGGAACTAAAAAAAAAAGAACAAATTAAATCCAAAGCTAGCTGAAGAAATAATAAAAACAGAGCAGAAGTAAATGAAGTTGAGACTAAAAGAACTATACGAGGATCGACAAAATGAAAACGTGGTTTTTTGAAAGGATAAACGAGATCAATAAACCACTAGCTAGATTAACAAAGAAAAAAAGAGAGACGATCCAAATAAGCACAACCAGAAATGACAAAGCTGACATTACAACTAATCCCACAGAAATAAATTTTAAAAAAAATCCTCAGAGACTGCTATGAACATCTCTATGCACATAAACTAGAAAATCTAGAGGAAATGGATAATTACCCAGAAATATACAACCTCCCAAGATAGAATCAGGAAGAAATTGAAACCCTGAACAGACCAGTATCGAGCTCCAAAATTGAATCAGTAATAAAACCCTTACCTTACCAACAACAACAACAACAAAAAGGTCCTGGACCAGATGGATTCACAGCCAAATTCTACCAGATGAACAAAGTAAGAGCTGATACCAATTCTACTGAAACTATTTCCAATATATCGAGGAGGAGGGACTCCTCCCTAACTCACTCCAAAACCCAGTATCATCCTGATGACAAAATCTGGCAAAGATACAACACAAGTAGAAAACTATAGGCCAATATCCCTGATCAACACAGAATCAAAAATCCTCAACAAAATACTGGCAAACAGAACCCAGTAGCACATCAAAAAGGTAATCCACCACGATCAAGTGGACTTTATTCCTCAGATGCAAGGATGATTCAATATACGTAAATCAGTAAATGTAAAAAGAGAATTAAAAACAAAAACCATATGATCTTATCAATAGATGCAGAAAAAACGTTAGATAAAATCCAAGATCTCTTTAGGATAAAAAGAAAACCCTCAACAAACTAGGCATCGAAACAATAAGAGTCATCTATGACTAAACTACAGTCAATATCATATTTAATGGGGAAAAGTTAAAAGGGTTTCCCCTAAAATTTGGAGCAAAACAGGTATGTCCACTTTCACGACTCCTACAACAAAATACTAAAGTCCTAGCAAGAGCAATCAGCCAAGAGAAAGAAAGAACACGCATCCAAAGAGGAAGACAAGTTATCTCTGTTCACTGACAACAGGATTCTATATCTAGAAAACCCTAAAGATCCTACCAAAAGACTCCCAGACCTGAAACATGACTTCAGTGAAGTTTGAAGGTACAAATTCAATGTATAAAATCAGTAGCTTACATCAAAACAACATATTTAAGAAAAAAAATCAGAAGCATTTCTATACACCAATAACATTCAAGCTGAAAACCAAATCAAGAGCGCAATCCTATTTACAACAGCTACACACACACAAGATGCTTAGGAATACTTCTAACCAGGAAGGTGAAATATCTCTACAAGGAGAACTATAAAACACTACTAAAGGAAATCACAGATGACATAAACAGATGGAAAAACATTCCATGCACATGGATTGGAAGAATTAAGATCATTTAAATGGTTATATTGCCTAAAGCAATCTATGGATTCAACACAATTCCTATCAAATTACCAATATAATTCTTCACAGAATTAGAAAAAAAATTTGAAAATTCATATGGAACCAAGAAAGAGCCCAAATAGCCAAAACAATCTTAAGCAAAAAGAACAAAGCTGGAAGCATCATGTTATCTGACTTCAAACTATACTACAAGGCTATAGTAACCGAACACCATGGTACTGGTACATAAAGAGACACATAGACCAATGGAACAGAATAGAGAAACCAGAAACAAAGTCACATACCTACAACCAACTGATTTTCAACAAAGAAAATCACAATATACAAAAATTAACCCAAGATGGAACAAAGACTTAAATGAAAGATGTCAAATTATAAAAATCCTAGAAGAAAATCTAGGAAATACTCTTCTGGACATTGGTCTAGGCGAAAAATTTAAGACAAAGTCCTCAAAAGCAAATGCAATAAAAATAAAAATTGACAATTGGGACTTAATTAAAATAAAGAGCTTCTGCGCAGCAAAAGAAACTATCAACAGAGTAAACAGACAACTTACAGAATGGGAGAAAATATTTGCAAACTCTGCATCCAGCAAAGGACTAATATCCAGAATCTACAAGGAGCTCAAACAAATCAACAAGAAAAAGCAACCCCCTTAAAAAGTGGGCAAAGGACATGAACAGATACTTCTCAAAAGAAGACATACAAGTGGCCAACAAATATATTAAAAAATGCTCAACATCACTAATCAACAGAGAAATGCAAACCAAAACCACAATGAGATGCCATCTCACACCAGTCAGAATGGCTATTATTAAAAAGTCAAATAGAACTGCCATTCGATTCAGCAATCCCACTACTGGGTATATACCCAAAGGAAATGAAATTGTTCTACCAAAAAGATGCCCGCACTCACATGCGTATTGCAGCAGCTGTATTCAAAATAGCAAAGATGTGCAATCAACCTAGGTGCCCATCAATGGTGGATCAGATAAAGAAAATGTGGTACATATACACCATGGAATACCATGCAACCATGAAAAAAGAATGAAATAATGTTCTTTGCAGCAACATGGATGCAGCTGGATGCCATTATCCTAAGTGACGAGTTCAACTGAAGCCCAAACCTCAGCATCACACAATAAATCCGTGTAACACACCTGCACATGTACCCCCTAAATCTAAAATTTAAAAAAAAGAAAAAAATAGCATGAGAAAATTAAATACATGGTAAAAGGGGTTTCCAATCTCAAACCTAGAAAAATGAAAAACCAACAGCTAAAGAAGTATTTGCTACACTTTGATCGATCTTTCATTCCTCTAATAAATTGTACTAGCTGACCAACAGGCACTGAATTTACAGTAAAATTCAAGCAAGTAAATGCTCTTCAGACAGACATCATCAAAGATTCACCCATTTCCAAACTTCCAAATTTTTCACATCACTGAAAAACAATATGGCTTTAGTAGTGATCACCATTAGATACTGCTTATTAATTTGAACAAGAAGGGCGCAGGGTTGCTTTTTTTTTTTTTTTTTTTTTTTTGAGACAGAGACTTGCTCTGTCACCCAGGCTGGCGTACTGTGGCACAATCTTGGCTCACTGCAACCACCACCTCCTGGGTTCAAGCGATTCTTCTGCCTCAGTGTCCTGAGTAGCTGGCATTGTATATAGGCGCACACCACCACGCCTGGCTAATTTTTGTATTTTTAGTAGAGACAGGATTTCACCATGTTGGCCAGGCTGGCCTTGAACTCCTGACCTCCAGTGATCTGCCTGCCTCGGCCTCCCAAAGTGCTGGGATTACAGGCATGAGCCACTGCACCCAGCTGAATTTGAGAGTAACCTGAACAATGGTAAACTAATGTGAATGACTGTTGACTATCTCATCTAATAGAATTTTTTCAAATTTGCATTTGCAGTACCACAATTGTCATTTCACCCAAGCAGGTCAACTATTTCATAAAATTATATTTCGTTTTCCTTTGACAATGAGAAAGATGTCATCTCTGTCATATTCAGAAAGATTTGTTTCTAATGAACAGACATTTGCATCTGGTATGATTTTTGTTTTTCTCATTAAAAGAAAAATCCCTGTGAAACAAGTTGGGAATCTAGGCACTGAAGTAATACTGGATCCCTCAGTTCACTAACTTTTCACTTTTCATTCTACTCCTTACATTAGTAAACCGAAATACAAAACTCCACAATTACTAATCTAGGTAGCTAGTCATCAACTATAAGTCCAATATTTTAACAGTTACAAATAGCTAAAAACGTTGATAAAACATATCAGACAATATAGGACATTTTGGGACAGAAGAAGAAAATAAACCTGGAAAACCTAGTTACAGTGCTTCGGCAGAATAAGCCTTATGTCTAGAGTCAGAGATCTGGCTTTAAGTCTCAGTTCTACTTGTGTTTAGCTGGGGAGTCCCTGGAGAAGTTACCTAATTTTTTAGTGATATTATTAATGACTCAATTAAATAGCATCAAAAATATTCTTAAGCATTTAAAAATGCAATAGTCTGGGCGTGGTGGCTCATGCCTGTAATCCTGGCACTTTGGGAGGCCGAGGCTGGCGGATCCTGAGGTCAGAAGATAAGAGACCATCCTGGCCAACATGGTGAAACCCCATTTCTACTAAAAATACAAAAATTAGCTGGGCGTGGTGGCGTGTGCCTGTAATTCCAGCTACTCAGGAGGCTGAGGCAGGAGAATTGCTTGAACCAGGGAGTTGGAGGTTGCAGTGAGCTGAGATTGTGCCACTGCACTCCAACGTGGTGACAAAGCGAGACTCTGTCTCAAAAGAAAAAAAGCAATAGTATCTGATATGTGGAGTTATACATGCAGACAAGATGAAGACAGAAAAATCATCCTGCTTTCTTTACACACATAGAACTTAAAAACTTACTAGATTCCACCGTCATCTGGAGCAAACTGTCAATAACATTAGACAGCAATCCTTTACTGGATATTCTTAGATGACTTAATATTACTGGAACAGCTTGATACTCCAAAAACAAGGTTTTTCCTTCTTCTGTCTTCAAGTCCAAACAAAGAGAATCGAATGCCTGAGCCAGGTAATCAGCTGGAAAACAGTTATGTACAATCAACTGCAGTTTTGCTAGTCTAGGTGGCAATCAGAAACAGAAGGTAAAAAAGCAATGTCGTCACTTTAACTTAAAAGAGAAACAAAAATTAAATAAGAGATCATAGTCTAAATTTAGATTCTAACTAATTTGTCACAACTGGAAGGGGGAGGGAGAGAGGAGACATTATGACAGGGTAAATTTCATTTAGAATTTTCATGTTTTAACACCAAAATAACAACTAAGCCGCATTTTTTAATACTAAGGAAGAAAAACAATGCTTATTAGTATCACAAATGTTTATTTTCCATATTTGATAACTACTACATACTTCCAAAAACTTAGTATTTCTATCTCTATAAAAGCTTTCTAAGACTGTTTTTTGTTGCTGCTTCCTAAATGTTTACCTACTTCAAAATGTAATTTATACAAACACGCTAAATGAATTTTAAATAAGGATTTCTGTCTCCTAGTAAAGCTGAAACAAAAGACCAAAGATAATTTCAAGAAGATGAAATATGCTCTGCTGTGTCACTTTTTATGACACATCTGCCATTAAAAATGGCAGCAAGATTTTACCCAGGCCAGCGCTGTGACTAATCCTGAATCAGAATCCCTGAAACCTTCTTAAAGATGTCCCACAGATGACTGAGAAACCTGCAATGCCAGGACTGGGAAGCACTAATGTAACCAGAATCAATGCAAATGTAGTAGTAAGATAGTTGCATCATTACACTTCAGTACACTACACAACCCAAGTCCCTACGCTTACAACAGTCTTACCTTGTGCTTTTAATGTACAATAATCAAGTTTTCTAAAACTCACCTTTCAAAATGCTATTCAGAGGAATAAAAAACTGTTCATGCTATCCAAGTAAAAATTTTTACACTGAGATTTCTGTTTAAAGGAGAAGACTCAAGAGCACCATGAAATACTGAAAGTACAACAGAATCACCGTATTAAAATGTACTCTTTTGTAGCTTCATGTTGCATTTCTTTTTTGCTGTTTCAGCTTACATAATAAATAATTTAAAACCCTGGTTATTAAGAATGAGAAGTTTAGAGTAACTTATGTGAAGTGAGAATACATATGAAACTATTTTAAGAAATTAAGATCTGTGCCTCTGAATCAATTATACTGAACTCCATTTTTACCGTTGGTAGAATTTAGTTCAAGGAACACTAACAGTACTGTACTTAATTTTGTTTAAAAAAAATTGTAAATAAATGAGTATTAAGTTAAACAAAGTTGCTACATTCTGTTCAGACTTGCCTTATTTAGAAACATCCTTTTTTTTTTTTTTTTAGCAACACCACAGGTAGAAGAGTATACACAGATGAAGCCTGAACACAACTCTTTACAGGAACGAAAGTTTTATCACAGTGCCACCTACTGTATTTGACACAAATTATTCTTAGTATATAATTTGACAAGATTAAACAGGATGAATACTATTACAGTTTTTTAAAATGGGCTGACTACTATATGGTATTAACTTTGCAAACTGTAAAAAATTGCCCTTCAGGATTAGAAAAACTGTATTTGGTTACTTTGTCACAAGTGACCTTATCTTTTAGGGATAAATCAAAATTATGTCCTCATTTTAATTCTGTCTTCATTTTAATTTATTGAGTATTTCAGATTTTCTAAAAAGATCAATTTAACTTCTAAAAGAGTATTTTTAAAATTTTAGTTATCAATTATATCAAAGTTGATTTTTTATAAATGTTGTATTATTGAGTCTTTTAACAGTGTCCTGGCAATCAAATGTAACCTTTTTATTCCCTAACAAAAGTCAAACTTCAAACTATTGATCTTAATCAGTATGAAACAGGGTTTTCCATTATTTTGTTTATATGGCAAATTTTAAAATGATTAGAAAGTCTTTTGCAGAAACTCCCATCAAAAGGTGAACTCTACTGCGCACCCTTTGAATCTGGGCTAACCTCGTGACTTAACCAGTAAAATGTAGCAGAAATGATGCTGTGTGAATTAGGAGCCTGAGGCTCAGCTAGATACTCTTCACCTATAAACAAGCCCCTGGAGAGAGACCAACAAAGAACAGCAGAACCTAGCCCAGCCCAGCCAAATATCCAGCTGAGCTGAGCCCAAATTACCAACCCAAAGAACTCTGAGCTGGTGAATAAAATGGTGGTTGAGCTAAGTCACTAAGTGTCTGGCAGTTAATTAGGCAGGAATAGACAGACAACTAACGTAGTCTAACAGACCTCAATTCTGGTCTCAAGTAAAACCAACTCTTAAAAGTTTTATAATAAGTAATAATGTCTACTGATAACAGTAGTAGCTAGTTTAAGACTTTATGCCAGACTTGCTAAACCTTTACATCAATTCTCTCATTAAAAAATAATTGTAGTGGAAAGAGTAAAACAAACAAAAAAGACCTTTCAAATATCACACAGCTAGTAGTGAAGTTAAGATTCAAACCTTAGTTGTCTGACTATAGAGTTGAAGTAACTACTACATTATACTGGCTTCCTACCAAATCAAACCTTCCTATTAACTGAGAACAGCAACAATTCCCTACATTTCTCTAGACCTAAAGTGTAAGTTCACAATTTAAAAATACATAAATCTGCTTTAAGAGCCAAGTGCCAAGTAGAACAGGACAAATGTCCTAGTCCTAATGTACACACTTTAAATATATATATATATTTATATATAAAATAATTGCATATTTTATATGCAATTATTTTATATGCAAAATCATTTTTATATGCAAAATTATTTTATATGCAAATTTTATATGCAAATAGAAGACAGTTGGCTGGGGATGGCTCGTGCCTGTAACTCCACTGCTTTGAGGGGCCAAGGTGGGAATATAGCTTCAGCCCAGGAGTTTGAGACCAGCTTGGGCAACACGGCAAGAGCTCATCTCTACAAAAAATAAAAAATTAGTTGGGCATCGTAGTGCACGCCTGTAGTCCCAGTTACTTGGAAGCCTGAGGCAAGAGGACTGCTTGAGCCCAGGAGTTCAAGGTTGTGGTGAGCTATGATTGCATCACTGCATTACAGCCTGAGTGACAGAGTGAGACCTCATCTCTCAAAAAAAAAAAAAAAAAAAGAAGAAGAAGAAAGCTATCAGTAAACCAAATAATTCTATCAGATAAAATTCCTACAACTTCTTTTAACAATTTCTAGATTACAGTGGTACAAATATATTGAAGGTTTTATTAATTAAAATATGCATAGATTTCTATATCTCCATACTTATCATTGTTAATGACATATAATATTGCACCATGCTCATGATGCTATGGTCAAGGGCCCAATATTTCTAGAAAATCTGGGTCAATTATATTAGACTGACCCTGTTTGCTCTTCCATAAAAATGACATCACCACCTACGTCATAGTTATTGCAGGGAATAAATTTGAAACAATCAAGTACAATGACTAAAACAATGCCAGCGAAGTCCAAGAACTTGGCTGATGCTCATTTTCTTCACTATTCCGATTGTGGGTCTACCAGCTATTTATCTTTTCTCATTATTACAAACAGCATATTAACACCTTTGAACATTTTTACCTTTGCAATTATTTCTTGCAATAGATCTCATGAAAAGTTACGATGTATTTTGGTGATGTTTGTGAGCAAAGTGCACTTCAAAAATATTAACTTTGATACGAACAAAATTGTGCCTATATCCTCTCAGTGACACATTATATTTGATCATTTTACTTCTGTAATGGTTACGTTATATATATATATTTTTTTAGTTCAGGGGTACATGTGCAGGTTTGTTACACAGGTAAACTTGTGTCATGGGGGTTTGTTGTACAGATTATTTCATTACCCAGGTATTAAGCCTAGTACCCATTAGTTATTTTTCCTGATTCTGTCCCTCCTCCCACCCTCTTATAGGCCCCAGTGTGTGCTGTTCCCCTCTTGTGTATCCATGTGTTCTCATCATTTAGCTCCCACTTGTAAATGAGAACATGTGTTATTTGATTTTCTGTTCCTGCATTAGTCTGCTAAGGATAATGGCCTCCAGCTCCATCCACGTCCCTGCAAAAGACATGATCTCATTCTTTTTGATAGCTGCATAGTATTCCATAGTGTATATGTACCACATTTTCTTTATCCAGGTTATCTTCGATGGGCATTTGGGTTGATTCTATGACTTTGCTATTGTGAATAGTGCTGCAATGAACATAACGCATGCATGTGTCCCTATAATAGAACAATTTCTATTCCTTTGGGTATATACCCAGTAATGGGATTGCTGGGTTGAATGGCATTCGTCTTTAGGTCTCTGAGGAATTCCCACACTGTCTTCCACAATGGCTGAACTAATTTACACTCTCACCAACAGTGTATAAGTGTTCCTTTCTTTCCATAAAGAAGAGTTATATCTTACAGTTAAATTTTATTTCAGAGATTGAGCATAACATACTGATTAAGTGTGCAAGCTAAACATTTTTATGCCTCAATTTCCTCATTTGTAAAATTACAACAATAATATTGACATCCATGAACTGTTGTAAGGATTAAATGAGTTAATATATATAAAGTGCTCGGCCTATAACATAGTAAGTGCTATACAGGTATTTGTTATTTCTTTGGTTATCTCAGGAAGTGCACGTTCTTACGTAGTCATAAAATAGGCTTCAGAAGGTAGGCTTCAGCAATTGAGAGAGGCTAAATTGGGCTCTGTCAAATGCAGATCATATCGCTTTGGCACAATTATCTACCTTTGTAAACCTCATCACTAATATGAGGATAACAGTATTCAGAGACAAGGTATAAAGAGCTTAGCATCTGAGGTGTTATGATATATACGTAAGTTTTTGTCTCGTTAGTCTTTTGTTATGATGTTGAGTCTGTGAGGCCTCAGGGGAAGGTCTCTGACCTTCTTCTGCCCTCCTTTCTCCTGGCCCAAGCCAGGACTCTAATCTTTCCTGGACTTTCTGATTGTGGGTCTTAAGACCCTCCCCAGTGAGAGTCCTGCCCTATATTCTAGGGGACAGAATTGTGATGTCAGGAAGTCTCCATAAAAACCCAAGAGAAAGGCCAGGCATGGCGGCTCACGCCTGTAATCTCAGCACTTTGGGATGCCGAGGTGGGCGGATCACCTGAGTTCAGGAGTTCAACACCAGCCTGGCCAACATGGTAAAACCCTGTCTCTACTAAAAAGACAAAAATCAGCTGGGCATGGTGGCAGGCACCTGTAAGCCCAGCTACTCAGGAGGCTGAGACAGCAGAATTGTTTGAACCTGGGAGGCAGAGGTTGCAGCGAGCCGAGATCACGCCATTGCACTCCAGCCTGGGCAACAAGAGCAAAACTCCGTCGCAAAAACAAACAAACAACAAAAAACAAAACACTCAAAAGAAATGGGTTCAGAGAGCTTCCAGATGGCCGGACACAGGGAGGTTCCTGGAGCGTGGTGCCCCAGGGAGGACAAAGAGGCTCCACGCCCCTTCCCCTATACCTTGCCCTCTCACTTCATCAACATCATTTGCTATATCCTTTATAATAAACTGGTTAAGTGTTTCCCTGAGTTCTATGAGCTACTCCGGCAAATTAAACCTAAAGAGGGGGTTGTGGGAACCCCAATTTGAAGCAAGTTGGTCAGAAGTTCCAGAGGGCCAGACTTGTAACTGGTGTGGCATGAGGCAGCCTTGGAGACTGAGAACCCAACTTGTGGGATCTGACACTATCTCCAGGTGGATCACGTCAGAAGTGAATTAGAGCAGCTTTGTGTCTGCTGCTTGCTGTGTGGGGAAAAACCTCCACATGTTTTGTCACAGAAGTCTTCTTCTGTGTGGATGATTATTGTCATGTGGGAGTAGAGAAAAAACACAGTTAAAGAGTTTTCCCTAGACAGCACTGTGGTGTCAAAACTCACCAAGTGGCTGGGCGCAGTGGCTCACGCCTGTAATCCTAGCACTTTGGGAGGCTGAGGCGGGCGGGTCACGAGGTCAGGAGTTCAAGACCAGCCTGGCCAACATGGTGAAACCTCATGTCTACTAAAGACACAAAAAATTAGCCGGGCGTGGTGGCGCATGCCTATAATCCCAGCTACTTAGGAGGCTGAGACAGGAGAATCGCTTGAACCTGGGAGGTGGAGGTTGCAGTGAGCCAAGATTGTGCCATTGCACTCCAGCCTGGGTGACTGGGCGAGACTCTGTATAAAAAAAAAAAAAAAAAAAAAAAAAAACTCACCAAGTATTATGTATGCTGATTCTTATATAAACACTTTATTCAGTATAACCAGGTATTATCTTTACAGATCTATATATATCTGGATTAAGCAGCTAATATTATGTGTATTATTCAATGCATCTACCTATTACCAATGGTGTATTATCCAGTGCATCTGCCTATTACCAATACATTTGCCTACTTTGTATTTTCTACTAAATTTATCAAATTTGAAACTGATGTTCCTATTTTATAAATAGGAAACATCTTCTTACTAGAGTTAGGTAAGTCTACTCTTAGGATTTAAGAGTTTTTCTTACGTTTAAATTTTTAGTTCTCCCAGAATTTTTTTCAGTATATTTATATTTAATGATTTATTTATATTTAAGGATAAATAGCTGTATCATGACAGTGTCCGACAGTGGTTCTGAGCACCATCTGGCTCTGACATTTCTTCCTAGTTCTGGCACGTGCTGGGATTTGGCCAGGACAAAAGCCCCTTTTACACCTGTATTCACTGGTCCGTGCATCCTGTTGAATCCTCCTAGCTCCAAGTCTTGTGTGCAGGCACGCCCCACCAGCCTGCAGCTGCTGGAGAGAAGACCTGCAGTTAGAAAGTGCTCTTCTCCCTGAGATTCATCAGCATTCAGGCTTCTTTCTTGATGGCAGCAGCTTGTACCTTGGCCCCAGGTAGTAGATGAACACTGGAACCCCACAGGTTTGGGCTCATAAGAAACCCTTGGGCCTAGGCTGGGAGTGGCCAGACTATAAAGAAAGACAGAACTCTTGTATCTCTTCCTTGTTCCACAGTGTTTAGTGTCAGATTTTTTTTTTTCTTTTTCATTTTTGAGGCTTATGAGGCTGAGGAGCCTGCAGCAAAGGGCATCTATTAGGCAAGAACCTTGTGAGAAAGAATCGGTCATAACAAGTGTGAAGGGAAACCAGACAGTGAAGCCAGGAAGACGTGTCAGGGCCTGTCTGTGGTCTAGGGAGCGGTGATGAAGCCACTGAAAAGGTCACGGAGAGTCACCACAGGAGGCAGTATTCCTGAAATCCGGTGGCCAGGCTGTGGAGGAAAGGGGTGGCACACAGGTATCGAGAGCAGGCTAAGGAGAAGGGAATAGGAGTGACCATGAGCTCAGTTGGACATGCTCCTTGGATCTCTATGTTTACAGTTTTCACCATATTTGGAAAATCTGGAGTCATTATGTCTTGAAATAGTTTTTGTCTCCCCTCTTCACAGACTCTAAGTACATAATATTAGAATATATAGATTTTGCCTCAAAACTCACGTTCTGTTTTCTCTTTTGTAGATTTTTTTTTCTCTGTGTAATTCATTTCAGACAGTTTCTACTGCTACATATTCCAGTTCACTAGTCTTTTGTCTGCAATGTCTAATTCTCTCCAGTGTATTTTTAAATTTCAGGCATTGGGTTTTTCATCTCTAGAAATCTGATTGATGTCTTCTTATCCCGTATCTCCCAAGTATCCCCTCACCAGGCTCACGTTTTCCTTTACCTTCTTGAACACAGGAATATAATGATAATAACTCTAGTAAAGTCTTGTCTACTAATTCTATCATCTGTGTCATGATATGATTTGACATGATTCTATGTTCTTAAAAAAATGACTTGCACAGGGGAGCAACGTCATTAATTCAATAAATAATATGAAGTGCCAATTTTGATTCATTTCTGCACTTCCTATTCCCATTGTCCTATTTTGATTAAATAAATTATTACTCATTTTGCATCATTACATATTAGGATTCTTTTAAAGTTGGCTAAAGCCTCTGCCCCAGTGTTGCTGTTTTACTTGTTTTAAATCATCGTATTTGTTGCAAAGTTTTCCACATAAATTTCCCTATCACTTCTGCAACTTACGCAAACTATATTAGAATTTTAACTGGTATTATACACTAAGCCGTGTGGGACATCTTCTTCTTAAAACACTTCATCTTCACAGGCAAGAAGAATAAAAGTTATTTCTGACATTGAACTTCAGCAATAATCTTCATCAACCTATTCATTCATCCATTATTTATCCATATTCTTATGAGCCATTATATTTCTTTGAAAGCCCTCAATTAATATAGAGTCTCCACAAATAAATGGTTTTCTCTACTCCTTCCCAATATTCATACTTCATTGTTTCATGGCTCATGACAGATGTCCAAAACTGCTGCACACAAGTGGTGACAGAGAGCACCTAATTCTCTTCTATTTCACATAAGTATCCCTTATTGTATTTTTGCTTTTTAACATATTATCAGAAATGAACATTATGTTATTAAATGATATACTAATGTATATTGATATATTATTTCAAACATTTTAGTTAAATGATAAATGATTAATAATTTTTATTATATTAAATTGGCTTCAAATTCTTGATACTAACCTTATTTGATCTTTGGTGAATACATGCTTTAATGTGTGGCTATGGTCTGTCAGCTAAAATTTTCATTTAGAATCTATTTACCTGTGCGTATGTAAGTGTGTGTGTATTTTTTTTAAGATTCAGAGATAGGCCTGTGGTGAGCTTGAGCTAATCCCTGCTTCTTGTAAGTCACCTTTCACACACGTACCACCTACTCTATTGTAACTCTGAGAACCATAACCATAAGGAGGCAAAATAATTAAGAAAGCAGTTACATGGTGTTTTACTTTTTCATCGATTCCATACCATCGGGAGAAACTAAATAAACCATACTTCAAAGAAAGAAGTCAAATTAAATTACTGTCATTGCCCATTAATAAAAACAATAATCTGAGTCATAAAATTTAACAAACAGGACAGACAGAAAGATGGTATATTTATTGCCTGACTACACTGGCATAACTCACTTTAACAAAAAATTATCACATTTAATAATATAACCTGTTATAGCTAAATATTAAACACGTATGAATTAGGGCCAACTCTGAAGGATTTCTAATTCATCCATTTCCTTATTCACTATTATATATGAAGCACTACGCTAGGTGCAGGGTCATTATAAACAAGTTTTTTCTTCAGGAAACTTACAAGCTAGTGCAAGCACTGAAAAACATGTTCTGCAAAGGGCCAGATGACAGTATTATAGGCTTTGGGGTCCACACCGTCTCTGCTGCCAGCTACTCGACTCTGTCACTGTAGGGCAAACAGTCATAGACAACATACAACACACGAGCATGGTTGTGGGAGAAAACGTCATTTACAACACACAGGTGGTAGGCCAGATTTTGCCCATGGACTAGTTTGCCAACCCATTCGCTAGTGGAAAATAATAAACTAACCAGCAATTTCAATTGATGTGACAAATACAAACAAATGGAGGCCAAAGCTGTTATGGGAATACGACCGAAGACAATCAAAGGCCTCTTGGGAGGAGGCAACAATCCAACTAAAGACTTCAATTTCTGAAATCCAGCAAATACAAGTAGCTTTTTATAATGTGTAACCATTATAAAACAATTCAAAACCTCATTCTGAAAATGTACCACATATGTGATCATAAAAGAACTGCTTTAATATATGATATTCTCTACTGTTTCTCAAAATTAACCGTAAGTATACTTCAAAGCTTACCTTGAGTGACTGTTTTGAGAACAATTAAGGTTGATAAAAATCTCAATGGCAAACTGGAGCTCTTAAAGAAAGCAGCTGTCTTTGGTTTATTCTCCACAGAACGCTGTGGTGAACTATCCTGAATTCCTTTAGGTACCACTCCTTTAAAAATGTCTTCGCCCAGTCTCCTCAATGTTGATGTCATAGTCGAGTGCTGCTAAAAATATGTACAATCTTAGTATATTTATTCATGTTCAGAATCTATCTTTTTTTTTTTTCTGAGACACAGTCTTGCTCTGTTGTCCAGGTTGGAGTGCGGTGGTGCAGTCACAGCTCCCTGCAGCCTCAAACTCCTGGGCTCAAGCAATCCTCCTACCTCAGCCTCCCAAGAAGCTGGGACTACAGGACTCACCACCACACCCAGGTTTTTTGGGGTTTTTTTGGTAGAGATGAGTCTAAGTTGCTGAGGCTGGTCTTGAACTCTTGGGCTCAAGTGATCCTCCTACCTTGGCCTCCCAAAATGCTGGGATTACAGGATCATGAGCCACTGCGCCTGGCCAATAACTATTTTAAATAGTAAATCAAATATATGTATTAAAAGTAAGTGAATCTGTGGCTAATTTAAAGTTGAAAATATGCAAAATTGGAAAGTGATAATTTTATCAACTTAAAAATTATTTAAAAGTATGTACATTTTTCTAAAACATGTAAGAACATAAGATCATGCTATATTTCTGACACAGAGAACTATCAAGGGAACAGAGGTGGACTACCTACATTCTCGGTTGCTGATTGCTCCACCATCAATGAAAACCAGCTTATCAGGCATATCTTTCTGTGTTCGCTTATGAAATGATTATCTAGACCCTCAGTTCCCTTCAGCTCACTCTGACTACAAAAGTCACGTGACTCCAAAAACTTTTAGCAATTTCAAAACAGTAAAATATTGGGTTAGAATCATGGATAATTCTCATGGAGAATAAAACAAAAACAAAATGGGCAAAACAGAAATATTAGCAAGAAACTACTCCTAAAATAATATATGATCTAATGGTATTTGATATATCCATTAAGAATCAAATGAGGCCAGGCACGGTGGCTCACGCCTGTAATCTCAGCACTTTGGGAGGCCGAGGCGGGCGGATCATGAGTTCAGGAGATCAAGACCATCCTGGCTAACACGGTGAAATCCCCTCTCTACTAAAAATACAAAAACTTAGCCGGGCGTCGTGGCGGGCGCCTGTAGTCCCAGCTACTCGGGAGACTGAGGCAGGAGAATGGCGTGAACCCAGGAGGCGGAGCTTGCAGTGAGCCAAGATTGCGCCACTGCACTCCAGCCTGGGCAACAGAGCGAGACTCCGTCTCAAAAAAAAAAAAAAAAAAAAAAAAAGAATTAAATTAAAGGAAAGTATTTCAAACTGTTGCAGATCAGAATGCTTAACCCAGATTTAGTAACAACTGTACTTTCCTTTATTACACCTAATTTAATCTCATGTGACTGAGTTTATAGCAGCTCTTATCTGCATGGAAATTTGTGACCAAATGGTTTCTAACTCAGTATTGATCCTGTAACATTGGATAAGTTTTGGCTTTTAAATTTCTGCATCTAAAATTAAAAACAAATCTATTGAGGTTTTGCCAGTGTCAAAGGCCAAATGGTTGAGTGGTAAGACACACAAGCAGTGCAATCTAATTTACATATACTGTCAATACAATTTTATTAGGAAAAATAATACATAGGTGTTTTCAAACCTTTGTGTAAAAAACAGAAAAAAATGTTCAAAACTCTACTTACAATGTGTTAAAATGACAGGATTAAGGTAAACTTTTTTTGTTTTTAAAATTATCTCTAATGCTTACTACTACACTTTCATAATGAAAAAATAAACTTGAAAAAAATATGTGGGCTGGGCTCAGTGGCTCACGCCTGTAATCCCAGCACTTTGGGAGGCCAAGGCGGGCAGATCACAAGGTCAGGAGATCAAGACCATCCTGGTCAACATGGTGAAACCCCACCTCTACTAAAAGTACAAAAATTAACTGGGCTTGGTGGCGCGCACCTGTAATCCCAGCTATTCAGGAGGGTGAGGCAGAAGAATCGCTTGAACCTGGGAGTCGGAGGTTGAAGTGAGCTGAGATCGTGCCACTGCTCTCCAGCCTGGGCGACACAGCAAGACTCTGTCTCAAAAAAAAAAAACAAGAAAGACAAGAAAAAAAAATATGGATAGTATTTGCCTTTAATTGAAGGAAAAGAGGAAAAAAATCCAAAACTAGCACTCTGGGTTGTTGCTGAAGCTTCACCTAAGTTATGCTAAAACTTTTGCTGAAACAAATCTAGACCCCAAATGTCTAGTTTTCAATTTAAAATCAGCCATCATTCCAAGGACGAGAAAGATTTCAAACTAAATGAAGACAATCAACAGCTGCCAACACCAACAGGACAGAATGTTAGAATTGTCTGACAAAGATTCTAAAGTAGCCATGACAGAAGGAGCACCTGCATACGCTTTTAGAAAATCTCATCGAAGACACCGAAAGACTTACCAAAGAAAAAACAGAACCAAGTGAATATTTCAGAACTGGAAATACAATAACAGTCTCAATAACAGAATGGAGAGGATGGAGGAAAGAATAACTGGAAAATAAAACAACAGAAAACACCCAACCTGAACAACTACAAACAACCTGGAAAAATAACAACAACAACAACAACAACCAGAACTTCGGGGAATAACAAAACATCTAAAATCATGTCATTAGAGTCCCAGGAAAGGAAAAATCAGGTAGGGCTGAAAAAGTACTTGAAAGAAACCGGGGGCGGTGACTCACAGTTGTACTCCCGGCACTTTGGGAGGCCAAGATGGAAGATCACTTGAGCCTAGGAGTTCAAGACCAGCCTGGGCAACATAGGGAGACCCTATCTCTACAAAGCAAAAAAACTAGCCAGGTAAGGTAGTACATGCCTGTAGTCCCAGCTCGAGCCCAGGAGGGTGAGGCTGCAGTGAGCTGTGATTGTGCCACTGCACTCCAGCCTGGGCAACAGAGCGAGACCCTGTCTCAAAAAACAAAACAAAACAAAAACATATACACATGCACACAGAACATGAAATTGAAGAAATAATGACTGAAAACTTCCTGGACTTGGCAAAAAATGTGCCCAGAGACTGAAGACACTAGGCAAACACCAAACAGGCTAAAATAAAGAGATCAACACCAAGACCCATCACAGTCAAACATAAAAACTAAAGACAAATGTGTGTGAGAGAAATGACACCTTACACCTATGGGGAAAATAACTCAAATGACAGTAGATTTCTTATCAGAAACCATGGAGGGCAGAAAGAATTTGCACATTTTTTAAGTACTGAAAGTAAAGAACTGTCACCCTGGAATCTGATACCCAGTGAAAATATCCTTCAGGAATTGAAAAGAAATCAAAATATGTTAAGAAAAACTAAGAGAATGCGTCATCAGCAAACCTACTCTAGGCCAGGTGCGGTGGCTCATGCCTGTAATCCCAGTACTTTGGGAGGCTGCGGCAGGTGGATCACCTGAGGTCAAGAGTTCGAGACCAGCCTGGCCAACAGGGCGAACCCCGTCTCTACTAAAAATACAAAAAGTAGATGGGCATGGTGGTGGGCACCTGTAATCCCAGCTACTTGGGAGGGTGAGGCAGGAGCATCGCTTGAACCCAGGAGACGGAGGTTGCAGTGGGCTGAGATCATATCACTGCATCTAGCCTGGGCAGCAGAGCGAGACCCTGTCTCAAAAGAAAAAAAAAAACTACTCTAAAGAACTGATCAAGAAGTCCTCTAAACAGACAGGATATAATGAAAGAGGGAACTGTGGCACATCTGGAAGGAGAGAAGAACAAAGTAAGCAAAAATATGGGTAAATATAATAAACTTTCCTTCTCTTCTTGAGTTTTATAAATTATGTTTGATGGTTGAAGCAAAAATGATAATATTCTCTAATGTGGTTCTAAGTGTATATAGAAAAGGTTAAGGGATAAAAAGGGAAGTAAAGTTTCTGTATTTTATTCAAACCGGTAAACTGACAATAGCAATAGACTGAATAAGTTATACATAATGTTGTAGTGAACGTTTATAATTTTATGTTGCCCTGGCATTCATTTTAAATATAAGTTGAACTTTTTCACACTAGAAGCAGGGATGAGTCACTTTTAACATGGTTTCCAGTTCTAAATCCCCATCCCCACCCCTAGTTCCTAAATGTGTTTGATCCAGATATCTGCCTTAGACAACTCCTCCCTGATGACCACTTCCCTGTGGGATAGCTAGATGCAGTCCGCACAACTTGTCTCACAGACCCTCACACCTCACTATAGACTGTGTGAATATGCCACAGTGACTACCTCCTAGAACTCATGCCTGCTTGCTTTAAATTCAACAAACAAAACACCCTGTGAAAAACCTGTATGGGTAACATCCTGGAATCCAATAAGGGCACTTGTCCACAGGTCCCTTTCTCTCTCACTCGCTCTCTCTCCCTGCCTGTGCTTCCTGACTTCCAAGTATGTGGACTCCAGGTTTGCCATGTAACTCCCAGGACCTAAAAGTAATAAATTCTTGGCCAGGCGCGGTGGCTCACGCCTGTAATCCCAGTACTTTGGGAGGCTGAGATGGATGGATCACGAGGTCAGGAGATCGAGACCATCCTGGGTAACATGGTGAAACCCTCCCTGTCTCTACTAAAAATGCATAAAAAAAAATTAGCCGGGCGTGGTGACGGGCACCTGTGATCCCAGCTACACGGGAGGCTGAGGCAGGAGAATGGCGTGAACCCGGGAGGCGGAGCTTGCAGTGAGCTGAGATCCGGCCACTGCACTCCAGCCTGGGCGACATAGCGAGACTCCATCTCAAAATAAATAAATAAATAAATAAATAAATTCTTTATTGCAGCCAGATGGGTTGGCTCACGGCTGTAATTCCAACAATTTGGGAGGCCAAGGCAGGAGGATCACTTGAGGCCAAGAGTTAGAGACCAGCCTGGGCAACAAAGCAAGACACTGCCTCTACCAAAAAAAAAAAAAACTTTTTAATTAGCTATGTGTGGTGGCGAACGTCTATAATCCTAGTTATGCAGGAGGCTGAGGGAGGAGGATTGCTTCAGCCCAGGAGCTAGAGGCTGCAGTGATCTATGATCACCACTGCACTCCTGCCTGAGCAACAGAGTGAGACTCTGTCTCAAAAA